AGGGAAGCGGGGCCGTGTGGCCCCAGCCCGCGCGCCCCCAGCTGAGGACGCCCAGCCTCCGCGGCCACCCCGACGTGGCCCAAAGGGGACAAACCCGGGGACGGGGACCGCGGCGGGGAGTCGTCCAGTCCTTCCGCAAGCGTTAAGCACTCTGATTTTGGGGTTCAGCAACCACTAGAGAAATAATCCAGAAGGTCACACATTCAAAATAACCCTCCCACCCAAAAAAAAAAACAACAAAAAAAAAACAAAACCCGAACTCCCTGAAGGCGCCAGGGGAACATTTTGGTGTCAAAGACGTTATAGCTATAGCTATAGCTCTTCTCTGGGAGACGCACAGCCCTGCATCGCTCTATGCCCACTTCCTTCCTCCACACACTTCCTCTTCAGCCCGGTTGCACGCGTGAGCAAGCCAGCAGGCTCCCAGGCCGAACGGCATGCAGTGTAGGCTGTTGCTGACCCCAACAGAGAGGGTGGATAAGGAAGCACCCAGACTTGATACGCGGGAATGGATTCCTCCTACTGGTTCTTGATTATCTCCCTTTTCACACAACCACTCAATTGCCACGGGATGCACCAACCACCAGACCTGCAGACCCAGTGTGAGAGATCAGGGTTCTAATGAGTCTCTGAAAGTGCGCTAGAGACCCACAACACACTTGAACTGGGAAATGATTCTTATCCTAATGCAATCCACAAGCGTCTCGGGTATTCTTCTTCAGCACCCAGAGAGCCAGTCATAGATGATGGTTAGACTAATATTTTCAGAAGATGCAGTCTAGTATTTATTGTTGTTATATGGAAAAACAACAGAAGAAAGAAAAAGGCCTCATGGAAGGGTGTGTCTGTGTGCCAAAACCACTGAAATAGCACACCTCACGTAACAGCAGACACATAATTGAAATGCTTGTTTCAGTCTGAGCAACAAGGTGAGACCCCATCTCTACAAAAAAAAAGTAAAAAAATTAGACACGTGTGCCTGTAGCCCTAGCTACTGGAGAGGCTGATGCAGGAGTATTGTTTGAGTTCAGGAGTTCTAGGTTACAATGAGCTATGATCTGCCACTGCACTTCAGCCTGGACAGTTAAGGGAGATATTGTGTCTTAATCAAACAAAATATTGTTCATTTATTTGGCACACTCATTGGGCAGCACTTTGCTAGGCTCAAAGGATTCTCTGTGAACAAGGCAGGACTGATACAAACCTTCAGGAAAATTTTCGCTCAAATAGTAGATAGAAAAAACTTTTAGGAGTTTGAGAAAGTTCCAGATCCTTTAGAGAAACTTAAAGGGAGACTTGAAGGACAGAAAAGCAAAGGATTTTGAGAGGAGGAATGAGGGAGACCTCCAGCAGGGCCAGGTAGAGGAACTGAGAGAGATTGCCTGGCTAACTGTTCAGCTGCCCATACAGGTTGGTATGCTATGAAGCTGACTAGGGGAAGCAGGAACAATGGTGACACTCATAAGGTTGGGAATGTTCAACTCTATGTTGGGGCTGATGACGGATTTGTCTCCGTCAACTATGGGTTTCAAAAGTGTGAAGGCAAGACTGAATACAGAAAGCCTAACTTTGGAGGGTCCTGCAGCAGTAAGTAGAGAGCGCATGGTGGCCTGAGCTGGGAAGTAGCAGAAGGATAGAGGAAAAATTGGAGTCAAGAAAGACCCCAATAGAAGTTGATCAGTATGAATATGGAGCTAAGATAAGCTGCCAGGGTAAAGCCCATGTTTGGAATTGGGAACTGGGTGTGTGGCGCTACACTTTGTGGAGAAAAAACACTGAGAAATGAAGTTGTGAGTGTGTCTGCATGCATGCAGATGGGACATGGATAAGTTACATTGTAGATGTGGGGAGTTTGAGATGTTTGTGGAATGTTAGAATATTCTTGCTGTACTCAACCCAGTTATTTTTACTGTCAACGGACAAAACAAGAAGAATGTTAAACTTCTCTTACTATCTGCAGCAAAGTAAAAGGTATATGATAAACATATTATAACCATGAAATGTAATGGCTGCCTGAAATGTTATCAGGGCCCGTGGTGAATGGTCCTACTCTGTTTCTTTGTGTAGTAGTGTTGAGTGTGTTTCTTTCTGAATAGGTCTACCTTCTTATGTTAACCCAGTTCAACAACCAGCTTACATTGTCATAATTCTAAAACAAGTAATTCTTCTCACGGGCAGCCACAAAATCTCCAGTTGAGCCTTGGGAAGCAGGTTTATAAAAGTCACTCTGGCATCTTCCAGGTACTGGTCAAGCCAGAGTCACTGATCTGAACCCCTAACTCTTTCCTTCCCGTCACCAAAATATTCTACAATGGAAGCCATTCAACACAATTCTTTTCAGAGCACAGTTAAGGGGACTAGTGACCTGCAGAGTTGTTGACAGGGCAGGGACCTTATTTCCATGGTTATGGTTATGGTTATGATTCACTACCTTCTGAGAAACAGCCACCCTATATTACCTCTCATGCTATGTTAGCCTGAGTTTTCTTCCTCCTGGGTTTAGAAAAGAGCTCACTTTTCCTAACATCAGCAGGAATAAAGCATGTTTTATGTTGCTTTGACAAAGCCCAAAGTTACTTCTCTCTCTCATCAGTGCTTTTGAAAGTAGATGTGAGAATCAGGCAGGGCAGGGGGATGGGGAGGAGAAGAGGAGGACTTATTAAAATGATTTATGCTGATCCCTCACACTCAACTGAACTTAAATATTTGGTCATTCAATTAATATGTCATTTGATTAATATGTATCAAGTGTCCACTGTGTGCCAGGAATTGTATTAAGGATTCAAACAAGCGTAGTAGACAAAATACAAGTGGTCTCCAACATGTAAGAAGTTCTACCCAGTAAAGAGAACTCTAATATGGACTGACTCATCCAACTTTTCCGTTGTTATAGAACGAGCATTTCCCTTCCTAAAAGACTGTTTTCTCAAGACACCACCCTTTTGAGCCCCCTTCCCTTATTTTGTGTCAGAGTCTTACTCTGTTACCCGGCTAGAGTGTAGTGGCACAATTATGACTCACCGCAGCCTTGACCTTCTGGGCTCAGGTAATCCTTCTGCCTGAGCCTTTCAATAGCTGGGACTACAGGCATGTGACAACACATCCAGCTAATTTTTAGATTTTTGTTTGTTTGTTTGGTAGAGATGAGGTCTGGCTATTTTACCCAGGCTGGTCTCAAACTTCTAGACTCAAATGATCCCCCTGCCTCACCTTCCCAAAGCACTGGGATTATAGGCACGAATCACCATGCTTTGTCTTTTTTTCCCTGTCTTCCATCTGTCCACTCTACATTTCCATCACTGTCTCCTTTCTCTCCACCATAAGCATTGGAAAACCCTAGGGTGGTATTGTGGACTTCGTTTCTTCTCTCTCCATCCTCCCTCTATAGGAGATCTAACGTGTTCTAAATTCCATGAATCATTGACAGAACCAAGAGCAAAAGTCATATGATTATTTCAATAGATGCTGAAATAGTATTTGATAAAACTTAACATCACTTTATGGTAAAAATCCTCATCAAAGTAGGTGTACAGGGAACATAACTCAAAATAATAAAGGTCATATATGACAAACTCATAGCCAACATCATACTAAACAGGGAAAAATTGAAGGCCTTTCTCTTAAGGACTGGAACAAGTCAAGGATGCCCACTCGTATTCAGAATAATGCTGGAAGTTCTGGCCAGAGTAATTTGGCAAGAGAGAGAAATGAAGCGTAACCAAATTGAAAGCGAAAATATCAAAGAAGCCTCATTCACAGATGACATCAATTTGTACTTTGAAAAAAACCTAAAGACTCCACCAAAACACTGTTAGAGCTGTTTAACAAATTCAGTGAAGTTGCATGATGCAAAGTCAACATACAAAAACCAGTAGCATTTCTATATGCCAACAACAAACTATCTGAAAAAGAAATCAAGATAGCAATCTCATTTGCAAGAACTGCAAAAATTATAAAATACTTAGGAATCCATCTAACTAAGAAAGTGTAAGGTTTGTACAAGGAAAACTATACATGTTGATGAGAGAAATTGAAGACACACAAAAAAGAAAGATATTTCATGCTCATGAATTATAAGAATATTGTTAAAATGACAATACTAGCCGGGCTCAGTGACTCAACCTGTAATCCTGCACCTTGGGAGGCTGAGGTGAGTGGATTGCCTGAGCCCGTGGGTTCGAGACCCACCTGG